AAATGTAAGGAGCAATTTTTTCACCTTGTTCCTTTTTCAAAATACTTCTAATGGTGCTGTAATTTTTGGGTTCCATGTAGACTTAATGTAAATGAGTTTCATATTAACTATTTTTATACAGGGATAGTTCTATATATCACTTAAGATAACAAATGGGATATTATAAAACTGTTAATTATGATCGCATTACAAATGACTAAATTTTGATCCCTGAAATCCTTGGTAATACCAATGTTCACTTTTTCTGGTTTTGTTGCAGTCTGCCCCATATTATATATTATTCAAAGATTTTTAGTTTATTTTTACACTGAAGGGAGTTCCAAGTGTATTTGTACTTCTTGGAGTGTTACAGATAACATGGCTTTTTACATTATTTATCCAATAAAACATGCATGGAAATTTTTTTTCTAATGACGTAATCTTGACATTTTATTAATCAAAAAAAAATTTTTAATATTAATATATTACATACACACAAAAGCTTTCGGGCACTGAACCACTACATAGATTTATACTATTGGCACATAGGTTAGACAAAGATGTGTATAAATTTTCATGATTTTGAATCAGTAAAAAAAATAACAAAATTTTCTTGAATGAAGAATGAAAAATTAATAACAAATAGGCACCTATCTTTTTCTATGGATGTCTCGATCCTTCTAGGTTATACTTTCAATTAATTTATAATACCTTTCACAAGGAATTCCTGCATATTCTTTTTTCGATGCATGCTCTAACTCTGAAGCATTTTTTGGATATCTTTCCTGTTTTTTTAATCTTCTATCAAATTCGTCCACAGATGTTGAGATCTGGAGGTTGAGAAGGCCAATCAGACAAAATTTTTATTTTTTTCTTCCAATCCAATTTTGTACATCTTTTACAGTATGTACTGGTGCATTGCCATCTTGGAATGTATAATCTCCATGAAATTTTCTTTTAATCAATGACAACAAAAATTTTTTTGATTGATTTTACCCTCTATTTTTACTAATAGACTAATCTCTTTCCGGAAAAGCATCCCCAAACCATTATGCCACCATCACCATGTTTAACTGAAGGGACAATATTTTCAATATTATGATGCTGACCATTAGTACGCCAAACATGTCTTGGTCCACCACTTTGGAAGATTGTAAAGTGTGATTCATCACTCAAATCACTTTGCACCAGTCTTCTACCATCAAATGTCTCCCTTCTAAACATCACTTTAACCAATTCTCCTTTTTTATTTTTTTATGTTAGAAGTGGTTTAACTATACATGCAGCCCAAAGTATTTTGACACTGTCATAAAGGGGGTTACACATGTAGTAAAGGGGTGTTACACTTATGTTTTTAATAGTGAATGCCGTAATTAATTTCTACTTTCTACCATCAAAATTGGAATAATTTTGACCATCAAAATCACCAAACCAATTTGGGCTGCATGTATAGGTAGGACAGACACGAATTGATTTTTTTTTCTTGGAAAAACAATTTATTTTTTGACAGAATCCAAGATGACAAAACATGAACGTTGTTGTTTGGTTTGGTTTGGGTCTCCTAAAGAAAACATGTAATAACTAACCAGAGGTACTTTTTTTTATTTGTATTGATATTTTTTATTTTATATAAACATTTTAATTGAATCAAAACATGGAGCAGATCATTGCTAGGTAATTACAAGATTTTCATTGATAATATTTTACTTTTTGTAATCAATAATAATATTAATATTAATATTACTATATAATTACAAGAAGATGTCAAGGCAGCACACCATTTAAAAAAAAACAATTCAAGTATGTGACATTTGATTATTAGAAAATGGCAGGCGTTGAAGCACGCATGCTACCTTGAACACATTACAGTCATTCACACACCTTCCTCATGCACACAAGGCTAATCTGACCAAGATTACCCTGATGATATGATATGCTACTGAATTCCAGGGAGGGGTAACATGGCCCTGGAGTTTACCGAGATTGCATCAATCGTCAATGATGCTTTCACTAATCTTCCCTTACCAGAGATGGCTGCTGGCATGCTAGCTGAAAAGTTGCCTACAACAATCCCTACTCTAGGGCAAGGATGGCACTGTGACAAGCTGTTGCAACTCTGGAGTAATATTAAGAGAATCTGCAGCTCGTTCAAGCACAGGGGGTCACAATTCAGAGCAGGGTTGGTGGCCCTGAAATTGCATTCGGACTCTGATGTTAAGAGGAAAGTTGTAAAATAGTGTTTGTTTTGTATAATCATTTTCATAAATGCTCTGTTTCTCTGATACTAACTAACCAATTTATAATTTTGGGTAAGAGACTGGATGGGGCTTTTGCCCAATAAGTTCTCTGTCCTGTAGGTTAAAATTATCACACGATTATACACATCCTTTTCAGCAATATTGCCAACAAGAAAAAGCCATAAAAATGGTTCAGATTTTGTTTGGTACGTTCCATATAAATTAATCATTTTCTCAAATTTTCTGCTTCTCTTTAATTTTTATTTGACCAATTGAATTTGTTATTTAAAAATGGGGCTAGGGTTGTTGGTGAGCAGGCATGCCACTGACAAGACAGGGGACGCCTTTGGGGTATACCAGCCAAACTCATAGAAAGGGATCTTTTGTCCAGACTTTGTGTCACATGGATGTTAGGCACAGAAAATGTACACTATCAATGTATATTTTTTTAACAAAATAAACATTTAAATAATTAATTGTTAAATATTAATACTTTTCTTTTCATAAAAATTACAGCAACCCAGGAC